CGCCGGGCCCTAGCTTTCCTCGTCTCCGAGACTCGGCCCCTCGCAGCCGGTCGGGGCGGCTGATTATGCCGCCGCGTCCTCTCCGCGGTCCCCTCGCCCCTACCTGCGAGTCAGGAGCCGAGCCCACCCGCAGCCGCTGCCGAGCTCTTGGCAGCCTTTAGCCCCGGAGAAGGCCGGTTTGCCTGGCACCTGGGAGGACGTCTCCAGGGGGCGGCTCTGGCCAGAGAGGGACCCATTAAGCGACTGAAGTTCAGACGGAGGGTGGGGGGTCGTGTCGCCGGCAGCTTTCCCGAACGTCTGCCGCCGACCTGTGCGCCTGAGTCTTGGCACCTGGGTGCGAGGCCGCCTATGGCGGGAGCTTAGAGTTGGCAGCCGGCAGGGCAGCGGGGTAACTTGGCTGACAAGAACCATTCAGGGCCGCGAGCCAGCCGCCTAATGGGAGTGCCCTCCCTCACACCCATCCCAGCAAAGAAACACCGCCTTAGGGAGCCCGCGGGCCTGCGGCGGCCAGCTTTTCCCAGGATGTGGACACAGGCCACAGGCCGAAATGAATGAGGCCTCGTAACCTTCAGATGACTTAAGAAACAATTGAAGTCTTAGCAACTGCTAACCCCCTTCTTTTCCTCCTTTCCAGTCGGCACCTATGGAGTGAGGGAGCTGGAGGCAGGGAAGCAACACGGTTCCCTTCAAGCTTTTGTCCTTTCCAGAAACTGGAAGGAGTGGGGGAGGCCTGTGATGGGTGGACTTCTCCCTTCAGGTCTTCAGACAGGGCAGTCCACTTTTTTTTGCCTGTCCCCACAGCTCTTCCTGCAGACTCTTTTTTCCTGAGGATCCTATTAAGATTGTCCGGGGCCAAGGGCAGTACATGTATGATGAACAAGGGGCAGAATACATCGATTGCATCAACAATGTGGCTCACGGTCAGTACCATCCCTCAGGCTGGCTGGGCAGGAGAGGAGGCCAAACCTGGGAACCTGGTCCAAGGGTGATCCTGAGGTGCAGAGAGATGTGGAGAACTTGGGTTGAGCTGAGCAGAGGAGGCCCAGTCTTTCTGGTGTAGCTGTAGAAGTTTTCGAGCAGGGGCTCTTCTAAACCAGGCAGTAGTCAGAGACCCATGTCTGGGAGTCCAGTTCCATTTGGGACTGGTGGCGAGCTCAGAGAGCCGCAGTCAGCCGAGCCATGACCAGCAATGGTCTTCCCTGTCCAAGTGCTGGAAGTCATGGCAAGGCTTCAGCCCCAGTGACCATCTCAGGTCCTGGCCAAAAAACCTGAAGTAGGAATCAGTTATCCAGATCAGGCCTCCAGTCGTTGAGAGGAAAGAGTCTGTGACTCAGCAGGCACCTTGGAAGTTAATAAGGTACCAGGGGGAAAGCAGGGGCTCTAGTCCCAGGACACCTGGGTTTATACCCCTGTCCTTCACTTAATTGACTTTGTAAGGCAAGTTACTTAATTCTTTGTTCCTCAGTTTGCTGATCTTCAAAATAGACAGAATACCAGGTATCCACCTCAGAGTGTTTTGGAGGATTAAGTATGTTAATTGTTGTAATTTGCTTTGAGTGTGCTTGGCACCTGGTGAGCTCCCAGCATATGTTCATTGTTAGCATCATCTTTGGCCTTTGGCAGTTATTATCTCCTGCCCCCACTGACTGGTGAGGTCAAACCCATTGACAGACACCCCCCATCCCCCTCCATATATGAGACTACCCCCTACCAAAGACATGGGTTTCTAAATAGGGTTTCTGCCAGAGAACTTTTCTGTCTGCCAGAATCTCAGGGACTCAGAACTTTCTAAGTTTCCCTTTCCAGAACTGGCATCTGTCTCCTGCCTCTGCCTTCAGGCTCCTCTCTTTCCTCTCCACCTCTCCCCTCCATAACTGTGTCTCCCCTGTCTGGGTTTACAGATTGGAGATGGGGGAGGGGCAGTAGGCTAGGTGAAGCAGAGTCAGCTGTTTGATGGAGGTGGCCCTCTTCCAGTTGGGCACTGCCACCCTCTCGTGGTCCAAGCAGCACATGAACAGAACCAAGTACTCAACACCAACAGCCGATACCTGCATGACAACATCGTGGATTTCGCACAAAGGCTGTCAGAGACCCTGCCAGAGAAGCTGTGTGTGTTTTATTTCCTGAATTCTGGGTAAGTGTACTGCAGCTATCCCCCAAGCAAGACAAAGATTGTTGCTCACCAGCGTGCAGCATAGTGTGTGTGCAGCATAGTGTAGCAGACCGAGTGTGGACTGGAGAAGAGGTAGCCCTCACTGTACGAGTGCTGGGCTTCCCAGGTGTAGACCCTGTGCTAATTCTGTTGACTCAGTTTCCTGGTCTCTTAGTTAGAAGTGCCATTACCTTCCTTCCAGGACCCTCCTTGGGATTTATTGAGGTAATGTGTTCCTTTATTTCTTCCTTAGGAATACACAGGCACAATGCTGGGGGCTACAGCCAAAATCCCTGCTCACTCAGTAGGAAACAAAAACATCAAGTAATTCTTCAAAGAAATACAAAATTACAAAGAGGGATCATCGCCTGGAGGAAAAATACAGGCTATAATGAGGCATAGAAGCAGACTGGCCTACTCTGAGAGGACCAGGGAAGGCTTCTCTGAAGAAATGATGTTAACATAAGAGCTGAGTAGTAGATAAGTAGATGAGGAGGAAGGGTGCTCCTGCTCCGTTGTAGGTGTTCTTATTAAGGTTGGTCTTGACACAGAACAGCCTGTGCAAAGGCCCTGGAGCAGGAAGAGTCATGGCACCTCAGCACACTTGAGGAACTATAAGGCAGTCAGTGAGGGAGGGGAGAAGGTGTGAGCAGACACTGGAGGAAAACAGGGCCCATCATCCTGGGCCTTATGAGCCAAATAAAGAATCCTTTTTTATCCTAAGAGCATTGGGAAGTCATCAGAGGGTTTTAATCAAGCAAGTGATGTCATCAGGGCTGGGGGAGAGCAAGAATGGACACTATTAGGTGCCATTTTGGCAGCCAGGTGACAGGTAATGGCAACTCACACTAGAAATGGCAGTGGAGATAGAAGTGGTAGGTGATGATATGTACACAGAACCAGCCCAGAATCCTGGGAAAGAACATTCCAACAAATCATAGGTTGAGGCATTTAGATTATAGTGACTATTATTATGATTATCATTGCCATTTACATAGTACATTTATCAGTCCCCTCCAGTAATTTCTAGGAAATGGAATTTACATCTTCATTTTACAGATAAGGAAACAGCAGTTGAAACTAGCTCACCCAGGGCCATCCACATAGGGAATGGAAGCCAGAACTGGAACCCCTCTGGGAAGAGCAAGGAGCTTGCTCCAGGAGTGGGAGCTTCCTTGGCAGAGGCAGAAGGGACATTTGCTGGCTTGCTTCACCAGATTTGCTCTGTGGATTCCAGTGACTTCCATGTTTCCAAATCCAGTGGTCTCTTTGCTGCCCTTGTCTTACTCTGTCAGCAATATTGACAGAGTTACCACTCTCTCTAGAAACACTTCTGGCTTTGCTTCCAGGACACTGTGCACTCCTGATTTTCCCTAGCTTCTGGCCACTCCTCCTGTCTCCTTTTCTGATTCCTCCTCTGTTCCTCAGGGCAGGTCTTCTCCGAGCCCTCTCCCTTTATGCTCTCATCCGTTCCCATGGGATTACATATCACCCACGTGCTAGTGATTCCCAGACTTGTGTCTCAAGCCCAGATGTTTCCCATGTGTTCCGGCCTCATGGTTCTAACCACCCACTTGACTTCTTGAACACCTCCAACTTCCCGTGTCAAAAAGACAATAAGGAGTTGATTGTCTGCCAACACCTGGTATGGGTCCATAGCCACAGCTCTCCCTTACTTTCCTAGTCACTTACCCCAGACCTTCCCAAGAGGACATCCCCCTCATTACCACACCCTATCTCACCTAGTAAATGGCAGTGCCATCTGCATCTCTACTGAAGGCAGAAACCCTCCCCCCAGCCCTGCATCAGGCCTGCCTCACCTATCTCCAGGATGTCTCCATCCACGTCTGTCTATCTTCATGGCCACCATCTGCTCTCACTTGCACGTTCATTTCTTTTTTTTCATTGAAATAGTGTTCTTTTTAATTTATGACTACTGTAGATGGACAAGGCACCACATACAAAACCTGACAAGCTCAGGGGATTTACCTCCACTTTAATTCCCTTCTACTCCACTATACACACATAGTCAGGGGCTTCCTTCTCAAATGGAAGCTGAGTCATGTCTCTTCTCTGATTTAAACTTTTTAGTGCTGCTTGCTGTGCCCAGAAACTTCCCCCTGAGGATTCCGTGAAGGTGTTACCTCCTCATAGAGTCCTTCCCTGACCCCCTTAGTCAGTTCAGGCTGCCATAGACTGGGGGGCTTAAACAGCAGCCATCTATTTTCTCACAGCTCTAGAGGCCAGATCCAAGATCAAGGTGTCGGCAAGTTTGGTTTCTTTAAAGCCCCTCTCCTTGTTTTGCAGATAGCCACCTTGCTGTCTTTCCTCTGTGTACTTGAGCCCCTGTTATCTCTGTGTCCAAATTTACTCATAAGGATATCACTCAGGTTGGATGAGGGCCCACCCTAATGGCCTCATTTTAATTTCATCAACTCTTTAAAGGCCCTGTCTCCAAATACAGCCACATTCTGAGGTGCTGGGGGTTAGGACTTCAACATATGAATTTTTGGGGACTCACAATTCAGCCCATTAACACCTCCTTATCTAAAGGGCTCCATCTGGTTCTCTTGGGGCACTTACCAAAATGGCCATTCTTTGGTGGTATTTTGGCTTTCATGACACATACTAGAATGTAAGTTCCAGGAGGGTCGTCTGTCTGTCTTACTGTTTTCCCCCCAGCTCCTAGCACATAGAAGGCATCTGATGAATTTTTACCTAATGACTGATGAATGGTGTCCCAAGAATCTTGCTGCTAGCAGGGCACCACCTTCCCTTAGGGTTTCTCTCTGAAAAGCAGATCTCCAGGAGGGAAAGCCCTTGGACCACTGTCTGAGCAGTGCCCACCTTTTCTTTTGTAGGTCGGAGGCCAATGACCTAGCCCTGAGGCTAGCCCGCCAGTACACAGGACACTGGGATGTGGTGGTATTAGACCAGTAAGTGCCATTCCCAGAAGCCTGGGTCCCCCACTTAATGGGGATCAATGAGGCTCTAACTTTGGGTTTCTTGGCAGGAAGGATGAGGGGCCATGGCTACAGAGACACCCTCCCCCAACACACACCATGGGGTTCTTTTCCCCAGGTCTCTCTTCGAGGAGGGTAGCTTCTAGGGAGCTGAGAAAGCTTAGTGAGGGGTTAAGAGTTGGTACCACATTTGAGGTATTAAAACTGTTCTGACACTAACTCCCATGTATTGATTATGTGCTACACAAGGCCCAGGTAGAGCCTTAACACATTTGAGGTTCATTATAACCCTGAGGAGAAACCCACCACTTTACAGAGGAGAGAACTGACCCAGGAGAGCCTAACTGATTAGCCCCCGTTACACACCTAGTAAGCAGCCTTGCAGGAAGTTTTGTAGACTCCACGACCCATGCTCATCCCCAGCCCTAGAACTTGGGGACTATGTCAGAAAGGTTGATCTTGTCAGAAAGGTGTGTCTCCTGAGGAGGGTACACACTTGTCAAGGCCAGGCCAGAGACACGTGCTACCTGGGTCTGAGCCCTCCCTCCCTTCTCCTCCCCAGCGCTTATCACGGTCACCTGAGCTCCCTGATTGACATCAGCCCCTACAAGTTCCGGAACCTGGATGGCCAGAAGGAGTGGGTCCATGTGGTATGCACGGCCCAAGGGGGCAACAGGTTGGTGGCCTCCCCCAGCCTGGATGACATGGCACTGTCACTCCCCACAGGCACCTCTCCCAGACATATACCGGGGCCTCTACCGGGAGAACCATCCCGATCCCGCTGAAGCCTATGCCAGTGAGGTGAAACGTGTGGTCAGCAGTGCACAGGAGCAGGGCAGGCAGGTAACTGCATCCGCAAGGGTCCATTCCAACCCACAGTGAACGTCACTTCTGCAGTTACCAGCTGGTGCTAGATACAGTAGATGTACTTGTTACAGGAGTTCCAGGGCCGAGACTAGACTGGCCTTGGTCGTGAAGGAGGGTCCTTGGAGGAGGTGCTGCCTAATTTTGGTAATAGAAGATGAGTTGGAGTTAGCCATTCGAGGTGGGGTTGGGAATAGAGGAGGAAAAGCATCTTGCGCAGAGGTTAGATACCATGTGAGTATGAGACCAGGCTGAGCAGGTAGAAGTGAGCCTGGAGAGGCAGGCAGACCCTGTGCCAGAGGTGTGCAGGTGCAGGGGTGGAGGCCATGGCAAACCTTCAAAGGGTTTAAGAAGAAGGGGAATAAGCTCAGAGGTGCACTTGAATGGGGCCAGCCTGAGGGCAAGTAAGCAATGGGGGGGCCCAACCCAGGTCAGTATAGTGGAGATGGAGAGAGCAAAGACAGGACAGATGTGTTGTACCCTGGAAGAGCAGCAGCCACGGTGACAGAGGGGAGGTATGAGGGCTCTCTGGGAGGCCTCACTGAAGGAGTAACAAACAAACACACAATATATGGCAAAGACAAGCAGGCTACAAGGCCAGAAAGGTTGGCAGAGCCAGATCTGGGAAGCCTGGCCTTTGTGTTTCAGATGCTCTACACCCACTTACATAAATCCAGAAAAGAAGTTGCTCTGGTGGCAACAGGGGTGGAGGACTGGTTTTTCTACCCCATTGGCTTTCATCCTGGCAATAACTTCCAAAGCAGCTCTAAGGCAGAACACAGTTTGGAAGTCATTGCTGTAAGCAAAAGGGGTAATTGAAGGGTTTTAAACACCAACGAGCTCAGTGTCTGGGTTGTGGCATCACCTTGGTGGCCAGTGGAGGATGGCCTGGAAGAGGCATGCAGTTTAAAGGCACTGGCAGAAGGCCAAAGCAGAAACTGGCAGATCTATGGGAGGCAGAAGTGTCCAGGTGGACGGGAAGGAGTGGGTGCAGAGATGATACAGAGGGAGTCAGGCTGTGTTGATGGATGGAGGGGGGCTGGATTTCTGTTCCAGGCAGGAGGGTTGGGAGTCAGATAAGTGCCCCAAGAGTCACCAGATGGGGGCAGGGGAGGAGGAACAGGCTTATAGGGGATAAATCAGTGGATTTTTTCTGAAGCTTGCTAAGTGCAGGAGTCTGAAGACATCCAGGTTGTAAGAGTTGGTTTGAGGCCTGAAAGAAGAAAGACACAGACACTCAAGTGTGATGTAGAGCCCGAATTGGGGGTGCAACAATTATGGTAACTCATCCTGCTTGGAGCCAGCCCTGAGCCAGCATTAGCAGGACTCTCTTAGCTTGCCACTCAGCACTTCCACATCAGAGTTCCTGATGTCTCCTCTTGTCCACAGATTGCCGCATTCTTCGCTGAGTCCCTGCCCAGTGTGGGAGGGCAGATCATTCCCCCTGCTGGCTACTTCCCAAAAGTGGCAGAGTGAGTTGGTGGGAAGGGCTGCCCCAGGGAGGCCAGGGGTTTCCCAACCTTTGTTCTAAATTCCAACCTCAGCCTCACCTGTTTGCCAGATTTTCAAAGCCCCTGAAAAAATAGTGGCCCCTAGAAAGCCAGCCATCTGCCTAAGGCCCCAGTCTTACCATTGCCAGAGCTAGAATTCAGTGTCCCAAGACCTCCCAGCTCCTGCTCTGATCCCTCTCATCACAGTCCTGTCCCCACCCACCCCCTCCACACCCCCACACCCGTCAGCCATCTGTCCTCTGCCACAGGCACATCCACAGGGCTGGAGGGGTCTTTGTCGCAGACGAGATTCAAGTGGGCTTTGGCCGAGTAGGCAAGCACTTCTGGGCCTTCCAGCTGCAGGGGGAAGACTTTGTCCCTGACATTGTCACCATGGGCAAGTCCATTGGCAATGGCCACCCTGTAGCCTGCGTGGCCACAACCCAAGCTGTGGTGAAGGCATTTGAAGCCACCGGTGTCGAGTACTTCAATACGGTGAGTGAAGGCTCCAGGGCCAGGGAGCACTGAGGATTCTGGTAGGCTCCAGACAATCTGAGCAAAGTCCATAGACCTGGCATTGTGCTGCCATAAAGATGTCTAAAATGCTGTCAGGGTGGGTGGGGGCAGGGAGACAGTTACAGCAGGTCAGAGAAAAAGAACACTAAATCTCTTTAAAATTAGCATCAACCCAAAAGCTGTGGCAAGAGATCATGCCTTATAAAATATATAGGAAGAAAACCAGATTCCCTCTCTCCCTTCCAGCAGAAGCTGCCTACTCTGTGCAAGACCCTGTGCTACAAGCTGATTAAAATACATGAGGAGCTGTCTGGGTGATGGATAGTCTAGGATTAGCGTTCATGTTGTAGTTGGAGCTTAGAGGAGGGCATGGCTCCCTAACCTTGCAGTGCAGGATCGAGGGCTTTCCCTAAGTGAAGTGGATCCTTGGGTTGAAGGAGAAGCCACAGCATGTTCAATGGCACCAAGAGTGCATTTGTGTGGTGGGTGAGGAGCATAGTGGTCACCAGATGGCCTCATGGTAAAAGAGCCAGGAGTCTGGATTGATCCTCAGGGCAGTGAGGAACCATGGAAGGGTTTTAAGCAGTGAGAGGTAAGATTTGAAATACACTTTAGAAGGCTCTCTGGTGATCAGTGTGGAGAAAGACAAGGTAGGTGACTGGTCCAGGCAAGAGGAGCACAAATCTGGACATGGGTCACAGGGAAGAATAAGGAGGGGCAGAGAGTTGAGGGAAAGAACTCACTGTCACCTCCCAAAAAAAGTCAGTTTGAATTGGGACCTGAAACATGTGACGGTTTGGCAGAGGTCATTAATGGGGAAGGCTGGTGCTTTCAACAAACTCACTCTATGCCCAGCTGATACATAGACAGAGCCTCTGCCCTGAACAAGTTCTCCATTCGGAGGGGAGACGGGCTCATAGACACCTGACCACAGTGGCACTAGAAAAGACTTAACAGAAGTAGTGTGTTCACAGTGCCAGGGGAGCACAGGGAACATAGGGTGGGAGGACCGAGAAGAAGAACAGGAGCAGGGGAGGCTTCTGGATGTGGGAGGATGAGGAGGAATTGGCCCTGTGAGGAGGAAGGAGTGTGTTGTGTTAGGTGAAAGACAGCCCATCAGAGCTGGGCCTGGGCCTGGGCCTGGTTTTTGTTTCTCTGTCTTTCTTAGAGCTCACATAGATTATGTAGTCAGTTCATGGTTCATGGTTCACTCATCATCTGTTCCTGCATAGCCCTCTTTTAGTCCATCAGTTACTCTTATTACTGATACAAGCACCTGAGAAGCCATCATCCCAAATAAAAGTTAGGACCTTGACAATAACCTGCATCTATTTATCCATATGGTTACTCCCAGTCCCTGCCTCCCCCAGCCTAGGCAGCCATCACTCTGAATCCTATGTTCATTAGTTACTCTCGTTTTTTAACTTTATAAGGAGTGTTTCATACTGTGTGTATGTAGTCTTTAGGGATTTGGGTTTTTTCACCTAACATATTACTGAGTCACCCCCATTGCTTGTCACTGAAGTTCATTTGTTTTGACTGCCTTATAATATCCCATTTTATAAACTACCACGATTTATTTGTACATTCCTGTTGATGTGCTTTGCAGTTGTTCCCATGGCTTTTGCTATTATGAACAGTGCTGCTCTGAACCATTTTTATAAATCTCTGTTGTATGTGTGCAAGAGGTTTTTTTAGGAATAACCTAAGAGTGGAATTTCTGGGTCATTGTTCACCTAAATTTTGAGACATCTGTTTTCCAAAGTAGGTCATAAGTTAACACCTCATCAGCAGGTATAAGAGATTCTGTAGGTCAACATTCTCTTCAACACTTTTTTTTTTTTTTTAAATATATCTTTATTGATTTCAGAGAGGAAAGGAGGTGGAGAGAGAGAGAGAGAAATATCAATGATGAGAGAGTCATTGATCGGCTGCAGCCCGCAACCCGGGCATGTGCCCTGACCGGGAACCGAACCCCGATCGCCTGGATCCTAGGTCGATGCTCAACCGCTGAGCCACGCCCGGCCGGGCTCTTCAACACTTCTTAACTTGTGCCAATCAAATGGGGTATAAAGTTGTATCCCGCCCGGCCGGGCGTGGCTCAGCAGTTGAGCATCGACCTAGGATCCAGACGATCGGGGTTCGATTCCCGGTCAGGGCACATGCCTGGGGTGCAGGCTAGGCAGCCGATCAATGACTCTCTCATCATTGATGTTTCTCTCTCTCTCTCCTTCTCTTTTCCTCTCTCTAAAATCAATAAAGATATATATATATATTAAAAAAAAAAAGTTGTTTCCCCTCAAATCAGAGTGGTTTTGATATGCCGTTCCCTGATTTCAAGTTATGTGAAACACCTCTTCATATGTTTATTGGCCATGTGTTTCATCTTCTGTGAAAATGCCTGTTTTTCTTTTGCCTGTTTGGATTGAATTACTAGTGTGTTTTTTATTTGTGGGGGTTTTGTGTGTGCATTTGTGTATGCATGTATACATACACAGACACATATTTATACGTAGGACTTTAGTTACATAGGACTCTTGAAGCTTTTTATTTCTTCTTGGGCTAATTGTGGTGAATTATGTTTTCCTAAGAATTTTTCATCTGAGTGTTCAAAATTGTTGATCTATGGTTACTGTTAATACTTCCTAATATCTTTTTAATATTTTCATTATGTTCCCTTTTCTTTTACGATATTGTTTCTTTGAGTCCTCTTGTTTTCTCCTTCTGCTTTCTTTGGGGTTTGTTCTGTTTGTGTGTGTGTGTGTGTGTGTGTGTGTGTGTGTGTGTTTTCTTAAGATGAATATTTAACTGTTGTCTCTATTAATATAAATATTTAAGCCTGTAAATTTCCCTCAGAGCATAACTTTTACTTTGTATTCCACTAATTTTAATATATATTGCCCAGTGTGGCTCAGTTGGTTGAGCATCATCCAGTGCCCCAAGAGGTCACTGATTTGATTCCCAGTCAGGGCACATGCCCAGGTTACAGGTTCAGTCCCCAGTAGGGGGTGGGCAGGAGGCAGCCAATTGATGTTTCTATCTCTCCCTCTCCCTCCCTCTCTCTGAAATCAATAAAGATTTTTTTTTTTTAATGCTATGTAATTTCCACGTTTTTTAGTTTTCCAATGTCCTGTTATTTCTAGTTTCGTTCCACTGTGGTGAAAAAAGATACTTTGTATGATTTTAAGCTTTTAAAATATATTATGGACTAATATATAGTCTATCCTGGAGAATGTTCCATGTGCACTTGGGAAGTCTTTATATTCTGGGTTTTTGTTTTGGGGGGTTTTTTAGTCGAGTGTTCTGTATGTTAGGTGTAGTTGATTTTTTAAAATACATTTTTATTGATTTCAGAGAGAGGAAGGGAGAGGGAGAGGGAAATAGAAACGTTAGTGATGAGAGAGGATCATTGATTGGCTGCCTCCTGAACGTCCCCTGCTGGGGATCGAGCCCAAAATCCAGGCATGTGCTCTGACAGGGAATGAAACCTCAATTTCCTGGATCAAAGGTCAATGTTCAAACTCTGAGCTACTCTGGCTGGGCAGGTCTAGTTGATTTATAGTGTTGTTCAAGTCTTCTGTTTCTTTACTGATCTTCCAATTTTTCTGTTACTGAAAATGATGAATTATTGTTGAACTATATATTTCTCCTTTCTGTTCTATCAGTTTTTGCTTTATGTATTTTGGGGCTCAATTGTTAAATGCGTATGTGTTTGTAATGGTTATGTCCTTTTGTTAGGTTGATCCTTTTATCATTGTAAAATGTTTACATTGCTAGTAACAGTTTTTTTATTTAGGTACACTGATTATTTACTATATACATTCAATATTATTTTGTATTAGTTTTAAGTGTACAGCATAGTGGTTAGGCAATCATATACTTTACAAAGTGTCCCCCCTTGGTATTTCCAGCTAGTAACAATTTTAATCTTCATGTTTTTATGCCTGATATCAGTACAGCCACACCAGCTCTCTTGGTTAGTTTGCATGATATACCTTCTCCACCCCTTTGCTTTCAACCTACTAATGTATTTACCAGTGCTCTTTATTTCATTTTTTTAATCCTCACCCAAGGATATGTGTATTGATTTTAGAAAGAGAGGAAGGGGGAAAGAGATAGAGAAACATCATTGTGAGAGAGAAACATAGATCGGTTGCCTCCCCCATGTGCTCTGACGGGATCAAACCTGCAATCTAGGTATATGCCCTGACCAGGAATCAAACCCACAACCTTTTTTGGTATACAGGACAAGGCTCCAACCAAGCCACCTGGTCAGGGCTCTCCTTTTTTTTTTTAATATATCTTTATTGATTTCAGAGAGAGGAAGGGGGAGAGGGAGAGAGAGAGAGAAACATCAAAGATGAGAGAGTCATTGATCGGCTGCCTCCTGCACACCCCCAACTGGGGATCAAGCCTGCAGCCTAGGCATGTGCCTGACTGGGAATCAAACCGCAATCTCCTGGATCCTAGGTCGATGTGAAACTGCTGAGCCACACCTGGCCGGGCATCTCCTTCATTTTTGAAAGATACTTTTTGTTTTGTTTTTTATTTATTTTCTTTCTACATGAAGGATATTTTTACTTTATATACAATTCTTAACAATCTGTTTCTTTCATCACTTTAAATATGTTATCCCACTGCCTTCTGGTTTTATGGTTTCTCATGAGGAATTGGTTGTTATTCTTGTCAAGAATCTCTTTTATGTGATGACTCTCTCTCTTGATTTCAATATTCTTTCTTTGTCTTTTTTCTATTGAGATATGACATACAACATTATATTAGTTTTAGATATACAACATAGCAATTCAATAACTGCTTATACAGTTGACCCTTGAACAATCCAGGTTTGAACTGTGGATCAAATAGATTTCATAAGTGGACCCACAAAGTTCAAACTTGTGTTCAAGGATCAACTATATGGTTTTTTAAAATGTTTTTATTGGTTTCAGAGAGAGGAAGGGAGAAACATTGATGAGAGA